ACTACGTCTCTGTGCATTATTTCTTTTACTTAGATATTTAAGAGTATAGCCACCTTTCTAATCCTCAATAGTAACAATATATGATGCTTACTGTATCTTCTTGGCCTCTTAAAAGGGTCAGCAGACAGAAAATAACATTAGACCAAAGCTTGTGTGCAAACAAGAGGATTCACTTCAACATAAACTGTATATGTGTCTCTGGTGAAATTTGGTTAAAACTAGAGCTGGGACTTTGACACATTAATTTTGACTGATAAATTACATAGATTTTTATGACACTTAATCATGTTGTTTATTTATGTATTTTATTTTATTTATTTATTTTCAAATAAAAGTCCAGAGCCAGAACTCTTGCTATGTGTTTCTGGTACATCTGTAAATCCAACACACAAGCAACATCCACTAACAATGGCAATGGATGACAAGTTAGCTTCTCTTGGGCAACTTAGTTATTGCTTCAAAAACGTTCTGAGAAGACACTAGAAAGGACTATTATTGTGTTCAAGTTGTGCTAAAAGAAGTTAGCTTATCAGCAACACTTTTTAAGCCTAAGAAAACATCTCGGTGCTAAACATGTGGCAGCAGCACAGACGTCCCCAATGCTAGCATCCATATTGCTAAAGAAGTTCCATAAATGATCATTAGATCCTGAAACACTGGAATGGGTAGAATCTGATGGTTGAATGTCCTAAATAACAGACTAAAAATTATGTTTGCTGTTGAGCTCATATGTCTATTTATTCAGTAATTTAGCAGCACAGAGGGTGTTTCAACTGAAAATGTTTATTTTGTTGATGTATGATTTTTTTATTAAAATATGATTCATTTAAATTCATCAATTACAGAGCCTGCAATGAACTGGGTGGGTAGAGTTGCAATACTTCATAATAATATTACTCAAGTAAAAGTAAAAAGTACAATGCAGTACATCTACTCCTAAAAGTAAATTTATTTCTCTAAAACGTTACTCAAGTAACTGACTGAGTAAATGTAACTACCTGCTACACAATCAGCCCGGAACCCTCCGCCAGGTTTAAAGACATGAACAGTTCCTGACTGAGTGGTATAATACGACTGATAGAAAACGAGTGACTCGCTCAGTGCTGCTCTTTTATTCATTGCCTAATCAAATCCCTCCAACAAAAAAGCCCTGCAGTGCTCATCAGATGAACTCGTTTCTTTATGCCCTCAACTGGCTGTGACATTCAACTTCTTTTCATGATTTGAACTATCTGGGAGTGTTTATCTACTGCAGGATGCTCTCAGAAATCAGAATCCAAATGACACCGTTAACTGCATCAAAGGAAACCAGTACCTCATATACAAAGAAATTCAGCTGGCTGTGTATGACTAGGAAGAAAAATTTAGTTGACTCACTGTCAGTGAATTTGCCTCAGACAACCAAATGTAGATCATTTGCATACGAGATCCTTTATTCTAAAGCTAATTTTTGATGTAAATGAACTTTGTTTTTCTGAACAATGTGTAGTGTCAGTAAATGCATCATTATTTACATATTCCAAATGACTTGCATGCCTGAATTTATTTACAGTTACAAATAAGTTATTATGTTTACTGCTAAAGAGACACTGAATTACGTAGAGTATTAGTCTGAATGTAGCACATACAAATGGAGGCATTCTGCATTCCCATTAGAAAAAAATTGAAATCATTGGGAACAATTCTGTTTACTAGATGGCAGTGATGTGATTCTAATACAAAATCTTGTGTGTGTAGAATATGCATCAATCAGCATACATTGAAAACATATTCCACTTTGCCTCAAAATGTCTTCTGGTCTCATTGTAGCCACATTTGGTAAAACAAAATTGATTTGGATGTGTTACAGACAATCTTTAGAGCAGTTTTTGGGGAATTTTATACTACAGACCAATAAAAAGTGGAGCATGTTTATGTTCAGGGTCATTGTCCTGCTGGAAGGTGAACTCCCAACCCAGTCTTAAAGGGGCAGTATCATGTAAAATCAACTTCTTTTAGCTTTACATCATGTTATTATGTTATTCCCTCATCAAAAAAATAATAACTGGAGTGTTGCTTTAATTCTTTCATGCATCTTTGAGAAATCCTTTAGTCCTTCAGTATCCATGGCAACCATTCAGCTGTTCAAAAAGCCTGGGTGGACCTAGGCTTTTTGGTCCACCCAAAGGGTTTGAAGCTTCGTCTCAAAGCTTGGCCTTTGAGACAAAGCTTCTTCTCAGAGCTGCAGTGTCCAAGTTCAGCTCCTCCACTCAGCTCCTTCAGACTAGCCAGCAGCAATTAGCAAATGTGCATCTGCTGAGCTCATTATGGGAGCTACCTCTCAGTGAAAGACAGGTAAAAAGTTTGTTTTAAAGGGTTAACAGAGGAGTGATGTTGTGATGACTTCCTGACAGCGTTTTTTAAAGAAGCAGAGACTCAATCTCAAGGTGTTAAATATCAAAGTCAAATTTCTTTTGAGTAACATTTGACATATACAGCATTTTATAACAACTGAGGGTAACAGTTTCCCGATTGTGCTACAAAATGGTACCTAGTTCCTGAAAAAAAAAAAATATAATAATGCCCCTATAAGTGCTACAAGAGTTGTTAAAAAAGCCAGAGACACTTTAACTAATTAATTAATGGCTAGATGTTCCAGACCAAAAAGGATGTTGACTTTTATTTTTCAGCACACATTAAGTGCACATAATCATTTTTTTGGTATTCACTGTATATATGTGAGAAAACACTTTGTCCTTGACAGATCCTTCAGGTTGAAGGTAATATGAGGAGGCACTCTGACGTGCGGTCCACACAAACACCAGATTTTACAGATTACGTTCAGGCCCTGTGTAGCTCTGCTCCTCACCATATCTCATACATCTGACACCCTGCAACTGAAACTCAGGAGCAGAGCCTCGGGCAAGAATGTTCCTTTCCTTTAAGTTCTGTCTGCCCGGCATTAAAATTGACAGACTCTGCAGAGTCCGGCTCCATTCAGGCATTTGTAATTCAATGATCTGTTGCATCATTTCAAACATTTTATATGGAACAATCTTACTTTTATTGTCTCTACATGCCACAGTTTATTATATGTCAGATTCCATGATTTTGAGCCTGGCATTATAGCTCATATGCTAATGTGGCTTTCAGGTGTTTGAAACTCAATGTATTTCTAGCCTTAAAATGAAAAGAAATGAAGAACATTTACTGCAACAGACTAGGGACCTCTCCAGGGTGACCCCGCCTCTCGCCTGGAACGTTAGCTGGAGATAGGCACCAGCAACCCTCCCTCCTCCACTAGGGACAAGGGTGTTGGAAAACGGATGGACGGATGGATGGATGAGAAAAATTTACCTTGAGAAATGTTCCACCAAGCTACTGCAGGTAGATTCCAGTTCTGCAGTGTGGTGAATGCTTATATCAATACTTGTTTGGCTTCTTGATCAAAATAGATCTGCTCTATTTTAAAACCTAAACACTTATTCTAGACTGAATTAAATACAGATTCTTTGACACTTCCATTCTGTTTTGAAAGAAGTGAAATGTCCCTTTTATTAAATTAGAACAGGTTAAACTATCCAAGAGCTCTTGTGCAGAAGTTGTTATGGAGGGAAGAAGAATGAAATTCAGCTATTTTCAATATCAGTGAAAGCTGAAGAGTAAGTGTCAAAGCTATACTAACATACCTGCATAATCATAAGAAAGTAAGAAAGTTAGAATGACAAAATTGCCAGACCAGCTATACTACGCCATAGAAAAGAATGAAGCAGAGTTAAAGGACATTCTGATTTTCCTTCACCTCTTGTAGACTTTTATTGTAAATGTGTCTCAAATTGCTGACAGCCTCAATGCAACCAAGACTCTGTATGTATCCCACTAATGCCGGATGATGCAAATCCTACACATTCCAAGATAATATTGGAAGCATTCTGCTGCCATCTAGCAGTCAGAGCTTCAATTAATTCAGCTAAATTTGCATACTAAATATTTAAATATACATTTACAGACCCATCTAATAAGTTGAAATACTAGAAAAGCCCACAAGTTTTAGGACGTTATCACTAAGTGAAACACATTACATAGATTAACTACACTCAGACCAGAGTTTGAAAGCCTGAATTTCTGTTAACTATGATGACTTTCCATGTATACCTACTGAAAACATGACATTTAAAATGATCATATTACATGAAACAAATAAAACTAGTGTTTTATTTGTTTCATGTAATATGATCATTTTCAATCCACAAACAGAAATGTAGGCTTAAATAAATCTATGTTTAATACCTGCTTGAAGGTTGTTATTTTCAAAGGGTACTTTTAATCTGACAAACGAGAATGGCTCAATTGGTGTAGAACTATTTATTGAATTAAAGTCAAAGCACACAGCAGTTGTTAACCCAAATTTAACCTCACTACCCCCCCAACACAAATAATGAAGAATGTTTATCATATATATGTTGCACACAAAGTCTCAACTAGTTTATGAATTTCAGAGTTATGACCAATGACAGTTACTTGTATGTTGGCCCACATTGACTGTGAGCCAACACACAATTTCATTACGATCCATCAGGACCTAGGAGGAAACGCACCATTCGATTAAAGTCATAAAGGTGCAGACTCTTTACATTTTGTTATAATGAACCTATAAAATCTCATTTCTTCAGAGCAAATATGTTCAAACTCTCTGAAGCTGCCTCCTTCTTGATACATTCATATGAGAATATGATTTCCCATGCCACCAAATCAGAGAGACACAAAAGCAGGAGATGTAAGGAGATGATGAATGATTTCGTCAGTCAGCACTGAGCTCTCAAACCACTGAATGGCTGCTCTGCCACAGACCCATGAGCCTGACGCAAGTGGCTGGGCTGAGATAAGGGAATACCAACAGAGCCACACGCTAACAGACACTACAAGCACATTATGCATTTTGTGATGATGATCAAATGTGTTTGGTTTGTCTTTTGTTTGAGGACATGAAACAAGACATTGATGTAAGGGCAAAAATCACCTCATGCATTTGCAGGTTGGTGTTTGGGACCCTCATCTTGGCTTCTAGAAGATTGATGGGATTGGTCGTGTAGCTTTTCAAACTGCGACTTTCCTTCAGGTGGGCCTGGAGCTTCTCCCTGCGCCTCCTAAAGGATGATAAAACAAACAAAGAAACAAAAGAATGGAGAAATGATCATAAAAATCATTTGCAACTTGTGGTCTGCAATCTGATTTTGATTGCAGATCACAAGTTGCAAAGACAAGTATGAGAAATCGAAACTATCATCCAGGAGCCGATAGCAGCTTCCTACTACTGTTGATGCACCTGTACAATCAGAAAGATACATCACCAATTCAGTTTCCACTAAGGATCTGAATGAAGGCCAGACTGAAATTTACCAGACAGAACAAAGAAAAGACCAGGACCTCTGGAGCAATGCTGGAGTAAAGCTAAATACAGCCCAGAATTGGTTTTGGATTTATTCAAACTTCACACAAAGAGGAAGAAAAAATGTTTATTTCAACGCCATTAAAATTACTGCAGATGTTTGAGGAAAATATGTAAGTTTTACCTTTTTTTTTTTTAATAAACTTTGTATAGAAAAGGTGAAACTGAAGCGACTGGACCATCAAAATCAAACAATAATCCAAAACGTACCAGTTCTTCTACTACAGTCTGGTTGAGAATTAAGAAAAGGAAAGACCTGAAAAATGTCAAAGCCCAGATGTTGACCTGCCTGAGATGCTGCAGGGTGACTTTAAACAGGCTGACCGGTCAAGAAACCTCTTCATCACTTCACAGCTGAACGTGAGGAGTGAAGCAGATTTTCCTTAGACTAATGTCACTCATTGAAGGCTGCAAAAGTGCGTCACTGGCTTCATTTTCATTCACCTAATATAAACATGCCAGTTTTGAAAAAAACAAAACAAAACAAAACAAAAAACAACAAAAAAAGTTTTTGATAAAAGGTTTTTGTGCTACGATGAGGTGGATTTTCTGCTGGATCCAAATAGATTTATTTCACAAAACTGTTATGGAAACAATTTTTTCACATCACGAGTCACGTGAGGTTACTACTGGCAAAAACCATAAAGAAGAGGACAGCAGGAGGAAAAATTAACACAGCTGATTTTTAGTTTTTAGCATTTTTAGTTAAAGTCTAAAAAATATATATTCATATATTGATTAAACATCAATCTGTGAAGAGTTTCTTATAAAAGACTGAATATTTCATTGGGTGTCTCATTATATTCACTTGGCTATGTCATAATGGGCTACACATAGTTTAGACCCATGTAAAACCAATTTTTAGGCACATTTTTTTATCTAGTTTATAAATACTAATTATTTAAACTTAAATTTGGCATAGGAGAATGTCTTGTCATTTTCACACATCCTGCTTTCATACACCCAGACAAATGGTAATGCTGCAGATGCCCATTGTCTTTGATTCCACAGGTAGACTACCTAATGCCTTTGATATTAGAAAGTCAGTAGAAATTCAGTCTCCATAATTTTCTTAGACAACTGTTGTGATTCAATTCTAATTTTCCATTATAAACCTGGTTTTAGGAAAAGAGGCTATGGGCAATTGGGCGAAAGTTTCTTAAAGGGTGTAAGTAAAGTTTCCATTTTCTTACATCTTTATCCCAGTGAGGTTGTGAGGGGTGCTGGTATCTCCAGCTGTCAACAGGCGAGGCGGGATCACCCTGGACAGGTCGCCAGTCCATCACAGGGCAACACAGAGACAGACAGGACAAACAACCAAACACTAAGGAGAATTTAGAGACCAATTAACCAGACAGTCATGTTTTTGGACTGTGGGAGGAAGCCGGAGTACCCAGAGAGAACCCACACAAGCAAAGGGACTCCAAACAAAGACCTGGGCCTGGAATTGAACCCAGAACCTTCTTGCTGCAAGGCAACAGTGCTACCAACTGTGCTACTGTGCAGCACCCAGCTTGATTATTATTTTTATTATTCCCTGCATTCAAAATCAGTAAAAAGAGTTGACATTCAAAGACTTTAAAGTCTCTTTCAAGTTTCATCCAAGTTCATTTCTAGAAAAAACATGTACCGCTTGACTCCTCTTTCTGCTGAGTTAATTTTTTAGTTCACATACAAAAGGTTGCTGTAATACTGGTTGAAAAGGCAAAAACCTATGACTTCCTTTCCCAAACATGTAACTGTGAGGTTTCAAAATGGATTTAATTCAAAGGATAATGCATTTCCTTAAACTGTTATCCACTTAGACTTTAAACAATAGAGTTGATATGAGAATTGTGTCAGGTATCCCTGATAATGAGGCACAGGAAGAAAATTTGTGCTCTGCACAGAACACTAACTTCTTCATTAATTTCCCCCTAAGCATTAATTAAAAGAAATGGAAGAGAAGGAGTGTTTGAGTTCATGTGACACAACTTGACTTGGGTTGATAATTTACATTGCAATCTATTGAGTCAGGGCCATTTCTAAGACGTTGTTTAATTAGAATCATTCAATCACAATCCTCTCTCATGTTACAGGCGAACACGCCAAAAGACTAAAGTCACCGACCGACAAAGTGATTAGTTTGACCCTAACCTTGCGTAGGCGCAGCACAGACCCTCATGATGAAAGGTCAAGAGATAATCGCGTTAGAGGAAGTGGAATAATGAGACGTTGTGGTGCGGAGGGGTGTAATCTGATTTCTTCTATTCATCTGAAAAAGGTTCTTCTGGTTTGTTGCTCCAACCAGTGCACTTTACATGCTCTTAATTATTGTGACTGGCTGCCCAAGCTTGTGCAATTACAGTGTCCTGGAGGAAAATGCACAGAAGCCCCGTGTATCACGACTTCATTATGTTGTGCCAGAGGTATGCTCATTATCAGATTCAGCCGATAAAGCCTCTACTGCCGCTGTCTGGGAGATACTCTGCTGCGTGACAGCAGTGTAATGAAGTGTTTGCAAACAGCCTCATGGCAAGCTCCTGAGCTTTCCACCTCTGTGGCACTTTAATTATATCATGTCAGATGAATGCTGAAACATATGGAACACACTATGGAACTTTTGGAAAAGTTTTCACTGAAACAAGGAGCCATGTAGCCTTTCTAAAGCTTGGTCTAAACAAACCGAATGTCTCAGAATGCACAATAAGACTTTGTGACGGATTCCTAAATTAGGCTAATCAATAAATGATTAGTGTGTTTCTTTTCATAAAACATCAAAAAGGTGTCACCCAATGTTTCTGTTTAGATTACTATTAAAAAAATGCTGGAATTAATTCAGTTTATCTGATAAGCAATCCAGGAATGTTGGATTTCAGGTTTTCTGTTGCTACAAAACTTTTTTTAATTTGGATTCTATGTAATAAATCAACACAAGACAGTGTGTAAATTGGAAAGTAGGTTTGGATTGTGTACGTGTGCATGCGTGTGTTTGTGTATTGTGATAAAATATGTATAAAATACACCATTTATTTGCCCCAGGATGGCTATGAAAATTGAATGTTTTATACATAGTTCATATATTTTCACCTTTGTAATGGCCAAAGTCATTATTTGGCTAAATTTATTTTGGCAAAAAAAAAAAAAAAAAAAAAAAAAGTCTCACTCTTTTTTTCCAAAAGATCTTTTATTAAAAAACAAACAAATAAAAACACACTATTGGCAAAAAATAAATTAGGCCATTATAAAAGGAAGGTGTCTTTAAGCCAGAATTAGGGCTAACCCCATCCCATACAACAATGGCTCAACATTTTCATCAACATTAGCTGTTTCTCTAGAGTTACCAAAGGCCTGTCTAGTTTTCTCTAATTTTGCCACTGCGCATCATCTCAGTCTACATGTCTTGGTAGGCATGCAGTTGTACCATATTCTTTCCATGATGGACAACAACTTGAATTATTCAAAACATGAATTATGTTTTACCACTTAACCCTGTTTTAAATTTATTCACAATTTTCACTCCGACTTCTCTGCTGTATTTCTTGATCTTTGTAATTTTGTTTGTTTGCTAACAGCAAACCTCAGAGTCCTTCACAGAACAGCAGGACTTACACTGAGGATAACTCACATATACTGTAGGCGGTCTCAGTTTATATTAAACTATTCAACAGACTTTTAAAGGCAACAGGCCACACTGAATTCTTTTGGGTCATTTGCTTTTCAATTGTGTTGGTCTATCAAAAAAAATCTCAATAAACAAATTAAACTGTTATTACATCACCTAATGAGGACAGGTTCAAAAGATATGAATAATTTTGTATGGAACTGAAGAAAGTCAACATCTTGAAATAGCTTAAGGTTTCAGTTGAATAAGAATGTTTGAAAGCAGCATAACTAACCAGTTTGTACAAAAAAAAAAAAAAAATTATCCATCATGCTAAGAAAACACATGAAAAAGCTATCATTTGATCCCTGCAGTTAAGTGGTGCTAATTATGCCTCTTATCCTGTTATTTAATCTTGGAGCCATTTTGTGGAGCGATGTCTTATCAAACAGAGCTAATAAAGAAAAGAGATAGTGAGATAGAGTGCAGGTCCTGGGGCAGACACAAATCAGGACTTATGAAGTGAATCCTGTGAATCTGAAGACAGATGAAGGGATGTGAAACTGTCTACATCACACACAGAACCAGAATGAATTGAGAAGAGCGAACCTTTTAAATGACAGATTGTTGTTGTGTAGCCTGGAATCTTGTAGTAGCAAGATTATTTTTTTAATGTCTGAGATATCTTCTAATCTGGTTCTGTGTGGATTATTAAACTGGAGTTTATCACTGATTGACTTTCATTGAAATCTTTTAGTTTTCCATTTGGCCTCATGCTTCTGTTACTGACATCCACGTTTTGCAATAATCTAGCTCAGGAGTGGGCAATCCAGGTCCTGGAGGGCCGGTGTCCTGCAACTCTTAGATGTCTTCCTGGTCCAACACACTTGAATCCAACAGCTGAATCACCTCCCAAGTCCAGTCAGGTTCTTCAGAGTCCTGCTAAGGACCTCATTATTTGACTCAGGTGTGTTGAAGTTGAAAAAATTTTAAAAGTTGCAGGAGACCGGCCCTCGAGGCCTGGAGTTGCCCACCTCTGATCTAGGGGATTTTGTTTGTAAAGCATTAAACATAACTATAGTCCACACTCGAGGTGACTAGTTTATTAATACTTT